TGGTATCTAGATTTGGGAGCCAGTAATCACATGTGTGGTAAAAGAGAGTTGTTTGTTGAGCTTGACGAGACTGTACAAGCACAAGTCTCATTTGGTGATTATTCAAAGACTCTAGTGAAAGGAAGAGGTAATATTCTGATCAAACTCATGAATGGAGATCATGATTACATCTCCAATGTTTATTATGTACCTGCCATGAAGAACAACATTTTGAGTATGGGACAACTCCTAGAGAAAGGATACGACATTAGCATGAAAGATTGTCATCTTACCATCAAAGACAATCATGGTAATTTGATCGCTTGGATGAGAATGTCCAAGAATTGGATGTTTGCATTGAACATCCAACATGATGCTGCGAAGTGTTTAAGTGCCATCATCAAAGACAAAGATTGGCTATGGCATTTGAGGTTTGGACATCTCAACTTTGGAAGCTTGAAGTTGTTATCAAGCAAGAATATGGTAATAGGGCTCCCTCATATTGCTCATACTAATGAAGTCTGTGAAAGCTGCATTCTTGGCAAGCATCACAGAACTAGTTTTGCTAAAGAAGTGAAGTGGAGAGCAACAAAGCCGTTGGAGCTAGTGCACATTGATGTGTGTGGTCCGTTGAAGCCAATGTCAAATGGACAGAATAGATATTTTCTCACCTTCATTGATGATTATAGCCAGAAGAGATAGGTGTATTTTCTTAAAAGAAAGTCGAAGGTGTTTAGTATCTTCAAAGAATTCGAAGCTTCAAAGAATTCAAAACTTTTGTAGAGAAGCAAAGCGGCTACTACATGAAAACATTGCGATCAGACTAAGGTGGAGAATATACATCAAATGCTTTTGAGAATTATTGCAAAGAGTATGGAATCAAGCATCAAACAACACCATCCTATACGCCATAGCTGAATGGTGTTGCTGAAAGGAAGAATCACATAATCTTAGATATGGCAAGGAGCATATTGAAAGGAAAAGGACTGCCCAAGCAATTTTGAGCTAAAGCCGTATCATGAGTTGTGTCTTTGTTGAACAGATGTCTAACCAGGAGCCTTCATTCTATGACTCCAGCAGAAGCTTGGAGTTCACATAAGCCAAGTGTCAATCATCTCAGAATATTTGGGTGTGTTGCGTCCACCAAGATTCCAGAAGCAAGAAGAACCAAGCTCGATGATAAGGGAGAAAAATGCATCATTGCCGGATATGGAGACAGAACAGTGGGATACAAGTTCTATAATCCCATTACCAGAAAGGTGATCATGAGTAGAGATGTGATATTCGAGAAAGAAGAAGCTTGGAACTGGAATCAAGATGAAGTTGTTAAAGATACAGAACTCATTCTTGAAGATGAAACATCAAAGGCTCCAGTTGAAATTACAAGAGAAGTTCAAAAATAGCCACAAACTCCTCCATTTAGAATACCGGCACCTAGATCGCCAGTTTCTCATAGAAGTGCTGTATCATCATCATCATCAACACATCAGATGATAGTTTTTTCAAACAACCAAGACTAATGAGAAATTTACAGGAGATATATGAAGCTACAGAAGAGCAGATCTGAATTTGTTCTGCCTACTTGCAGATAGTGATCCACTTACTTTCTCAGAAGCCATCCAAGAAGATAAATGGAAGAAAGCAATGGATGAAGAAATTCATGCCATTGAGAAAAATGACACATGGAAACCTACTAGTCTACCAGAGGGGCACAAACCCATTGGAGTGAAATGGGTATACAAGACAAAGAAGAATGCGCAAGGCGAAGTGCAACGCTATAAGGCAAGGTTAGTAGCAAAAGGTTACAAGCAGAGAGCTAGAATTGACTATGGAGAGGTGATTGCTCCAGTTGCCTGATTGGAGACTATCAGGCTAATGATTTCTTTGGCTGTCCAGCACAAATGGCAGATTTATCAACTTGATGTGAAATCGGCATTTCTTAATGGTTTCCTTAAAAAAGAAATCTATATTGAACAACCTTCAGGGTATGTTCAGAATGGGCATGAAGACAAAGTGTACAAATTGAAGAAAGCACTTTATGGATTGAAGCAAGCTTTGCGTGCATAGAATACTAGAATTGATTAGTATTTTCATGACAATGGTTTTGAAAAATGTCCATATGAGCACGCACTATATTTGAAGAAGGAAGCTGATTGAAGCATGTTACTTGCTTGCCTTTATGTTGATGATCTAATTTTCACCGGAAACAATCTAGCCATGTTCAAAGACTTTAAAAGATGCACGGTCCAAGAATTTGAAATGATAGATATTAGATTGATGGCTCATTTTCTTGACATTGAAGTGGTACAAAGAAAAGATGGAATTTTTATTTCCCAAAGTGGCTATGCCAAGGAAATTCTCAAGAGATATGGAATGGAGAGTTGCAATCTAGTGAACACTCCTATAGACAGTGGAGTGGAGCCCAGAAAAGGTACGAAGGCAGGTGATGTGGATCCAACTTCTTTCAAGAGCCTAGTTGGAAGTCTTCGCTATCTTATTTGCACCAGGCCATACATACTCTATGGAGTAGGACTGATTAGCAGATATATGGAAACACTGGATCAGTCACACCTTTATGCGGCAAATAGGATTCTTCGCTACATCAAAGGTACAGTCGATGATGGTTTATTCTATAAACCAACTGATAATTTCAGTCTTGTTGGCTACTTAGATAGCGACTGGGGACGTGACTTGGATGAACGAAAAAATACTACGGGATTTACTTTCTTTATTGGAGATACAGCCTTCACATGGTCATCCAAGAAGCAAGCCATTGTGACATTATCGACTTGTGAAGCTGAGTATGTTGCAGCTAACTCAGCTGTGTGTGATGCAATATGGTTACGGAACATGCTGAAGCATTTGGGATTTACACAAGAAAAACCCACTAAAATCTATGTTGATAGTCGCTCAGCAATTGTATTGGCGAAGAACCCAGTTTATCATGAAAGAAGTAAGCATATTGACACCCGCTATCATTTCATCCAAGAGCATGTGAAAAATAAAGACGTGGAATTATTTTCTTGCAAATCTCAAGATCAGCTTGCAGATATTTTCACGAAGCCTTTGAAAAATGATCTGTTCAACAGAATAAAGATAATGCTCGGGATGAAGCCGCATGAAGAATCAAGCTAAGGGGGGGATGTTGGAAAATAAGCTTGATAGCCACCAAAACAAATTTGTGCTCAGAGATTGCTTCAACGTTTGTAGGCTTAGCATTTAATGCTTTCATACCAACAACCATAGTTGCATTCAATGCATTCACATTGATAGCCGTATGCGCATTAAATGCTTTCATACTGATAGCTGTATTTGTAATAAATATGTTCACACTGCTAGTTTATCTATAAATAGCTAATGTATCAGAGTGATATGTGTGTGGGAGAAAGAAATGAAGGGTGCTCTGTTTGTATGTTTTTTCCTCAGAATTATTTTGAGTGAATTGAATTTCAGTTTGGTTAAGTTTTTCACCTCTCATTGTGAATCACCAACAGTGGTTTGCACCCCACTCCCACTAACACTAGCTCATCACTTTTATGGAAGCAGTAGTAACAACAACAAAGACAAGAAGAGAAGCTCAAGCTGAGCATCTGCTACATCAGTAATTTTTTTTTTAAACAAAACTATCAATTTATTTGGGAATTTTTTTTGTATTTGTGAATGGATTTTGATCTGTGAATTTCTTTATCCCAATTTTTCCCCTATTTTTCTGTGGTTTCTAATTTGAAAATGGGTTTCTTTTTTTGGGGTTTATGATCTGTGATGATTACTAATAAAAAATGAGTTGATTGATTTTCTTTTTGTTCTTCATTCTTCTTCTTCTACGGGTGGGATATGTTGTCAACCAAAAATAAATTGTTCAAATTTGTTCTTCAGCATTATTTTCTTCTTCTTATTATTCTTCTTCTTCTATGGGTGGGGTATGTCGTGAACCAAAAAGAAATTGTTGAGATTTTTTTTTTTGCTAAGATCAACCTATTCATTTTTTTATTAGTGTTGTGAAGTAATCTTGTTTCCACTGGCCTAAGAGTCAAATGGAGGCTGCAAATCAAGACTTTCAAAAATAGCAGCTGCAAATCAACATTGTCAAAAATAGTAGCTGCAAATCATGTTTGTCATTTGAAATTTGTTGCCTCAGCCGTAGTTGAATTTAATGCGTTCACATTGTTAGTTTTATCTATATATAGCTATTGTATTATGAGAGTTCAAGTGTGGGAGAAAAAAGTAGAAGATAGTGCTCTGTTTATGTTGTTCAGAATTTATTTTGAGTGAATTGAATTTCAGTATGGTTCAGTTTTTAAGCCTTTCATTGTGAATCACCAACAGTGGTTTGGACCCCACTCCCAAAACAAGTTGAATTTGCAGAAATTCTGCAAAACTTTCAAGAACATAGTGTGTTTTCAAAAATTGCCTAGAAATCAATGTGGTCGAAATCTATTTTTGATCACATCAGATTGAAGCTCTCGACGAGACGAGCACAACCATGAAAACCGTGTCAAAAACGAAGATCGGCCGGCCCCGCACGCGCCCCACGCACTTCCTGACGCCGTTCTCATGCACCCCATGCGCAACACGTACCCCATGCGCTTCCAGAGGAAGACGACGCGTGATCCCATGCGCAACACGTACCACACGCGTGCGTACCAGAGTCGATGTCATCCACTAACGTCATCAAGCCCCTGACCAGCTTTGACCAAGCCGAGCACGCCGCCGTTGACTTGAGCCGCTGACCGAGCTGAGCCTCCGTTAACCTGAGCCGCTGACCGAGCTGAGCCTGAGTCGAGCCGTCGTTGACTGAGCCACTGTCATCAGCACACGGAGGATTCATCTAGTGTGACGCAGCTAAGGTGCAGCCGTAGATCTAAATCGTTCAACTTGTTTTGGCTTGATTTAAGCCATTCGAAGTCTGTTTTTGGTGATCCAATAGTGCCTTCCAACTATTTGGAGTATTTTGGACACATCTGTATGGTCAGAATTTGCAAATTCCATTCCGAAAATTTGCAAAGTTTTAAAGACAACCAATGGCCAACACAAACAACTTCTTTCAGCCCCAGTTTCCAAAACTCAGCAAGGAGAACTATGAAAATCGGAGTATTCAAATGCAAGTTCTACTAGCCTCACAAGATTTGTGGGAGTTAGTGGATCGAGGATATGACGATCCAGCTACTCTTGAAGATGAAGGAAATTTAAATGATACTCAGAAGACGACATTAAAAGATTCAATGAGGAAAGATAAAAAGGCCTTGTATCTACTCTATCAAGGCATTGATGAGTCAAGTTTTGAGAAGATTTCAGCAGCAACAACCTCTAAAGAGGCATGGAGTATTCTTCGAAATTCACATCGTGGAATTGAGAAGACGATCAGAGTTCGACTCTAGGTGTTACGTGGCGATTTCGAGATGTTGCACGTGAATGAGAATGAGTCAATTTCTGAGTACTTCAACAGAATATTGACCATTGTTAATCAGATGAGAAGATATGGAGAGTAGATGGAATCTCTTCAAGTGATAGAGAAGATTCTCGATCACTCAGTCCTAAGTTCGAGCATGTGGTTGTAGCAATAGAAGAGTCTAAGGATCTCAGTGCCATGACCACTGATGAGTTGATGGGCACACTTGAGATTCATGAACAAAGGATCAACAAGAAGACTTCCTCAAGCTCTCTAGAGCAAGCTCTTCAATCAAAGCTGTGTTTCAGAGATGACAGAAACGAGCAAGGGGGGACATCACAAAGAAGCCGAGGAAGAGGTCGTGGTTACGATAACCAAAATTCTGTTTTTCTAGGAAAAGGCGAAAGAGGTCCAGCCAGAGGAGGAAGAAGTCAACCACACTTTGCTCCAAGAGGAAGAGCAAGAGGTAGAGGAGGTGGTTACAACAACCGACTAGGATTTGACAAACGCAATGTTCAGTACTACTAGTGCCACAAGTTCGGGCATTACAGCAATGAATGCCGAAGTAGAGCAACAACAGAAGCCGGAGAACAAGCAAATTTTGCCGAGCAGGAAACAAACAAAGTTAGACCTACAGCCCTGTTTGTTCACCATGGAGACACTGAAAACCAAAATAATGTTTGATATCTACATTCGGGAGCCAGTAATCACATGTGTGGTAAAAAAGAGCTGTTCGTTAAGCTTGACGAGACTGTACCAGCACAAGTCTCATTTGGTGATTCTTCAAAGACTCCAGTGAAAGGAAGAGGTAATATTCTAATCAAGCTCAAGAATGGAGATCATGATTACATCTCCAATGTTTATTATGTTCCTGCCATGAAGAACAACATTTTGAGTATGGGACAACTCCTAGAGAAAGGATACGACATCAGCATGAAAGATTGTCATCTTACCATCAAAGACAATCATGGTAATTTGATCGCTCGAGTGAGAATGTCCAAGAATCGGATGTTTGGATTGAACATCCAACATGATGATGCGAAGTGTTTAAGTGCCATCATCAAAGACAAAGACTGACTGTGGCATTTGAGCTTTGGACATCTCAACTTTGGAAGCTTGAAGCTGTTGACAAGCAAGAATATGGTGAAAGGGCTCCCTCATATTGCTCATACTAATGAAGTCTGTGAAAGCTGCATTCTTGGCAAGCATCATAGAACGAGCTTTGCCAAAGAAATGAAGTGAAGAGCAACAAAGCCACCGGAGCTAGTGCACACTGATATGTGTGGTCCATGGAAGCCGATGTCAAATGGAGTCCTTGGCTATGGAGTCCTTTTATCTTAATATACTTTCAATCATTGGGTCATAATTTGAAATTCTCGAACAATTCTATTGATACACAAGAAAGAGAATTGAAAGATAAAAGCAAATTGTAAAAATAAAATCATGTAAATCTGGAAAAGAAAAAAAGACTTTGATGTGGTTGATGCAAAAGAATCGCTCAAATCAAAAGAAAAACCACTGTACACAAAAAAAAAAAAAAAAAAAAAAATGTGATAGGGCATGGTGCCCTTGGTTATGAAAACCTTCTATCTTAATACACTTTCAATTGTTGGATCAAATTTTGAAATTCTCACACAATTCTATTGATACAGAAGAAAGAGAATTCAAAGATAAAATAATCTTTAACCGTGAGACAGTAGCTAGAATGAGGAGAACAATAGAGATCACATACGTTAAACATCAACAAAATATAAAACATTGAGAAAGATATAATAGTTTAAAAGTGAATTATTAGAGAAAAAGAAAACTGAATAATCATAGAGTTGAAAAAAAGAATTCCACTAGGTACAGACAGTGGTGTAATCAGGAATTTTAATGAGTAGGGCCATTAAGTCATCATTATTGTTATGTCATATTTTCAATTTTACACGAGCTGTCAACATTAAAGTTCGCATGATACCTCACAAATTTCATATATTTTCAGTCATGTTGACAAAATAATTCAAATTAGTCAATTGCAAGCAAAAACAAAATATAAGGACATTAATACTATATGGCTTCAATAAAATAGTCAACAAATCTCATAATATTTTTTTTACCGCATTTCAGTTTTTTCAATTTTTATTATAAAAATTTTGTAAAACATCATCACAAAAAATCTTTTTTAATGACAATTTTACTAGGACCAACTTTCATTGATCAATTGATTGGATTTAATGATAATTAAGTCCAACTATAAGGATATGCTAGTAATTTATCCAAAATGGTTATTGTCCAAGCCAACCCAAATAGAAAATGCATTGTACACACAAAAAGATTTGAGATATGACATAGGAATTTGTTTCTAAATTTTCTTTCGGTCATAGAATAATTATATCTTAAAATTCTTACACAATTTCGTATGGACAGAAGAATAGAGAATCTGGACATAAAATATCTGTGAGAGTGAGATAGTTGTTAGGGTGAGAAGGACAAAAGAGGTGGCCTCGGTTAAGGATCAACAAAAGATTAAGCAAGATATTACAGTTTAAAGTCAATTATAAAAAAATCCAATAAGAAAGAGAGAAAGAAAACCAAAATGATAGAGATAAAGAAATGACTTTCACTAGTTACAAGAAAGATATATATACTCATGCACTTTTCCATTCCTAATGTAGCATTTTTTGGTATAGTGACATTATGGTGAAAATATTAATTATTATATATTGTATAACTTGTTATGTACTATCATTACATTGATAACGAATGTTATTCATCAAAATCAATTCAATAATAAGATATGAGATGATATGTAAAATGTGATAAAATAATAGAATCACCATAACATTATTGTTTCTGAAGTCTAAGAAGACTGAGAGAAAGAAAACATGGCAATAATAAGTGTTGCAATGAATTTCACAAGCTATAAGAAAGATATAACTCTTACAAAATGGTCCATATGGTATATACCTTATACAAAAATGTATAATGTATTGAATTTTTATATATATATTTTTTGTATTTGGTGAATTTTAAAAAAAAAAATCACAAAATATTATACTTCTTTAGTATATCTAAATTAGGTGTATCTAAAAAATAAAAAATAAAAATCACTTAAAATAAAAGAAAAATTATTAAAAAAAACACGAAAAATAAAAGAATAGAAAAAAACTCAAGTTTTTGTGTAAGTTAAACCAAAAAGATGATTCTTATTTCCTTTGAAATGATATGAACATAGTATCTGTATTATTTTATATATGTATAAAGGCTAAGGGGTAAATATGCCATTTTAATTTGATAGTGGGCAAGTGTAATTTTTCAAATGTAAAGGAAGATCTGTATTAAACAGAAATGTCAGGGAGTGTCAGCGTAATTTACTTGAATTTTAAAAATATTAATTAAAAATACAAAAAATAAAAAAATTAATTTTCAAAAAATTAAAACCAAAGACAGTAATTAATGTTATTACTTATGTTCCAATTAGTTCCAATCTTCTTTCTTATATTTCAATTAATCTTATAGGTAGTCTATGACAAGAGGTTTGTGTGAAGGCCCCGTTTGTTTTGGGGGTTAAAAGGAGGGATTGAATTAAGACGAAGGTGAAACTCATTAATATTGTGTTTGTTTGCAAATTTGTGGAGGGGATTCATAAGACCTCCAAATTAAGATGGGCCTTAACTGTTGGGATTGATAATCTTTTGGTATTAAAATATTAGTTCGATGGCATTAGGGAGAGATTTACTACTTTAACCATGTTGTTGTCCTAGCTCATCACTTTTATGAAAGCAATAGCAATAGCAACAAAGACAAGAAGAGAAGCTCAAGTTGAGCATCTACTACATCGGTAATTTTTTTTTATAACAAAACTATCAATTTATTTGGGAATTTTTTTTGTATGTGTGAATGAATTTTGATCTGTGAATTTCTCTATCCCAATTTTTTTCTTGTTTTTTTGTGGTTTCTGATTTGTAAATGGGTTTCTTTTTTTTTTGGGTTTATGATCTGTGATGATTACTAATAAAAAATGTGTTGATTGATCTTCTTCTTGTTCTTCATTATTATTCTTCTTCTTCTATGGGTGGGATATGTTGTGAACCAAAAATAAATTGTTCAGATTTGTTCTTCATCATTATTTTCTTCTTTTTTTCTTCTTCTTCTTCTTCTTCTTCTTCTATGGGTGGGGTATGTTGTGAACCAAAAAGAAATTGTTTAGATTTTTTTTTTCCGACCAATTCATTTTTTATTAGTTTTGTGTGTTGTTTTTTGACCACAATGCCAAACAGGTACTCAGTTGGAGAACACCGGCAAAATATATTGCGCCCGAACGACCTGTCACAGAAAGATAAGGCTCCAACAGTGGTTCGTCCATCGGGGGACACTCCGACGATCAAGTTAGTACTCAATTATCTCTCAAAGATAGCAAATAGTGCTTAACTCACTTGGTCAGAATACAAAAAGCGTACCTTAGACCCACGAGGGTGCCTTACTTTTATAGTCATCACTAACCTGATCCCTGCAGAAGCCTAGCTTCTCTTGGACTCTGGCCCAATGCTCATCCTAGACTCTCCATTAGATAAAGATAAACTCCCTAAGAGCTTTATCCTTATCCAGGTTGAGGTCCTCCCTCTTTCTAGGACTCTTATCCCTTATCCGTTCATCTCGAATTCCGGTATCTCCGCAGATAATCTCGGCCTAGTCGAGATTACCTCGACGCCATGACCAGGACGCGTGGCACCTCGGCTGGCACTTCGGTGCCACCTTGGCCACGTGTTGTCATTCAAAATTTATGTCCCCACAACTGCCCCCTAGGTTCTATTACCTCGGCATCCTGAGGTGATGGAACCTATATCATTCGAGTATTTAGCACATCGGCTAAGCTTGCTCTATCCTTCATTGTCGAGGTTATCACACATCGGCTCCATATGACCAAAACTTCAGTGTGTTTGCATCAATACCTTAGAACCAAGAACCAATTTTTTTTTTTCAAGTTCTTTAGCCGAGATCGTCCCCATAGCTGAGGTCTTTACTTCATTAAATCAAGAACTCCAAGAGTTTCTACACGCGTATGAGTTGTCACGCACAGTAACTCAACCGCTTTTGCCACGCGTCTCTTCGTTATTGAACCGTGCCTGACACGCGCCATTAGGTCGGGTCATTTCTGCGTGCGCCGCCTGACAGACACGTTGTCCTAGGCTCACTAATTGCCATTTTGCCGCCTTTTTGTGTTTTGATCAAAAACATCTCTCTCTCTCTCTCTCTCTCTCTCTCTCTCTCTCAGTTTCTACACGCGTATGAGTTGTCACGCACAGTAACTCAACCGCTTTTGCCACGCGTCTCTTCGTTATTGAACCGTGCCTGACACGCGCCATTAGGTCGGGTAATTTCTGCGTGCGCCGCCTGACAGACACGTTGTCCTAGGCTCACTAATTGCCATTTTGCCACCTTTTTGTGTTTTGATCAAAAACATCTCTCTCTCTCTCTCTCTCTCTCTCTCTCTCTCTCCGTCTTTTCACTTTTGCACCACCATTTTCGCTCAAGCTCTCTCTCTC